CCCAGGGGCTACAATGGCAGTGGATATTTAGCAGAAGGATTTTTCTGTGCCTTGAAAGAAATTGTTTCTCGAACAAATATTACTTAATTTAAATGCCACAGCTTAAGATACAGCAGGTTTTCAAAACACAAGATTTGTATGAATATCCATGAGCTCCATGGGCACTGATCCCAGAGGAAGTTAGTGACTTTGTCAGCTGGCAGTCCTTTTGGGAAGTGAAAAGGGACTTTGTTTTTTGATTTTTGTAGTGTATGTCAGCCTTTTTCTTTGACAGTACATGCTCCCAAAAATTGAAGCAATTTCCCTGGCTTCAAATTTTCAGAAGTCTGAGGAAATGTGTCTTACTTTGGGAAGAAATTAGTACTTGCAGGCAACTCTGGAAAGCCAAATGTATTGCTATTAAAATGTAAATATAAGTAGCAAAACTGAAACAGTTTTTGACTGTGAGTGCCTGGTGTTTACAGCTCATATGGACTTGTTGAGTTAGCGCCTAACAAGTGTAATATTGCTTGATCCTGCATTGCTGTAAAACTGGAAATCATTGATCTGGTTCATTTCAGGTTAATGGAAATCAGAACTTTCAAACATCTGTGGCCTTGCTGGCTCTTAAAAGTTAAAATGTATTTCTGTTACAGTTTTATAAAGCATATTAGATGATTTCAAGTGTGTTATTTAATGGGGGAAATGTAACTACATCTGTAAGTGATAGATGTTAGGTTCAAATACTTAATGTTTTTTGTATTTCAGGATATTGTATTTATTGTGTGAATGAATATAATGAACTGTTGGAAGTTATTAATTTGTCGCTAAGCAAAAGTTAATTAAGCTCATAGCAGTCTAAATTTGGAAAAAAAACTATAATTCTTTGGGGAAAAAATATTATTTTAAAATATTTGTATCTTTCCTAAAGTAAAGATAATTATTGCAGAAACACTGCAAATATGATCACGAGGTAACAGAAACACAGTCATCAGTGAACAGACTCTCTCAGCTAAAAATCTATGCAAAGAAAAGATGGCGGCTTTCACAAACTAATACTCACCTTTAAAAGGATTGTCTTTTATAACAAACTTTTCCATTCTTCAGTGGAGATGAAAACTCTTGATTCTATTCTTATAGTGATGGGCTGCTCATGCAGCCTATAGATATGAAAATTCTGCACCCCATAGATGCTTTTGTTACTTTTAGAGAAGTAGTTCTTCCTTTGCTTGGTATTAAGAACTGCTCATAGTTCCGGTGCTTTGGTAATTGAAGTACTACTTCATATTTAGCAAAAACTACAGTTTATTTGGTGGTTACCAAACAGAAAATAAATGGGTGACCTGTTACTTGAGTGTTGTAAGATATTGCTGAAAAAAATTTAGAAATCTTTGTTTTGAGTAAGTGAAGTTTATGTTGGGTTGGTGACAAGGAAATAATAGGCTGTTAGTGAATGAAGTACAATTTAGTCTCTTCAAATTACAGAGCACTTCAGTAAAAAGGTATGCTTTAGAAATGCATGTTTCATCATGAAGTTTAGAGTGCTGCTGTGCAAAATCATTTGCCTGAAATTCACAAAGGCTGCAAGTTCAGTCTGTGCATTAAAAAAAAAAAACAACATCTTAGTGGAGTGTTTCTTCCATGGACTCTTAGCATGCAGATGTTGCAAATCAGCAAGCCAAAAGAGTCCTGGTCCTGAGTTCTCATGAACATCTGATGTTCATTCATTTTGAATGGGAATTGTTACTTTCACATAGTAGTGTGTGAGAAGGAGATCCTATTTCAATTTGCAGACTGCAAAACATGCCAATATTTTATACCTGGCAGGGGCTCTTGTTCAGGTAGCTCAGTTCAAGTACCAGAAACATCCAGTTCCCTGTTCCTGGTCCCATTTCTGCTCTCACTCATTATGTGTGCCATAGTTTGTTTAGCTGTACACATTGTACAAACTTGTTTGAGGGTTAACAGGAAATAATTTTCAAATAATGCTTTTGTAAACAGTGAAAATCAAGCTAGGGCTCCTGAAGATCTTTAGTGTGTATACATTTTTTTCCCCAAAATTGGTGTCAGAATAGTAATAATCTGTTCGAAGAACACCACAATTTTGAGATTCATTAATTTAATTTGAAAGGTTCTTCAATGGCTTTTTCTAAATGTAAATACGTATATATAATATTTAATGACTGTCGTGGATTAACTTTTGGATATTTTGCCCATAGAACGACTCTTCCTTAGAAGTTACTGAAAAATTAAAATATTAATTTTAAAACATCTGTGCTTATCTACTGTTAACCACGGGAATTTTTGTGAAAATATAACCTGGTTTCTGGTCTCCTTAATGTATAGATAAGGCTGTAGAAATTTAGAAACTGCTTCATTTTATATTGGCTACCCCTTAATGTTTCACTGAGTATTTCCTTTGCTGGATTTGACTATCCTCTTCTTATGCCAGCAAGCCACAAACTTCTGCTAAACACTTTTGTTTTGGGACTTCTATACAAATTCATTTCAGTCATGAAGCATTAGTTTTTCAATAGACTGGGACTGAAAGGTTCTGAGAAAATATGCAAAGTGAGAAAATATATAAATGTAATATATGTAAATACTGTATCATTTGCTGAAAGATCTGTCAGTTAGGTAGTCTTCTTGGCCCTTTTGGAGGCTTGAAAACTCCTGCAAATCTTGGCTACTTTGGTGTTCAGTGTAAAATGATGCTGTATCTGATATTCTGTGTTACTGTTCTGTACATCTGCTAAATTCTTTCTGAAGTGACCTGCTATTTTTTTAAGATGCAATTGGATATATTGTGTTACGTATATAATCCCAACTTGATCCATTTACGGTTCTTCAGTGTTTCTAACATCTGGTGGTCACATGAAAATGAGGTTAATTTTAAAGTTAAAACTGTTTTGATGGTGCTATTTTTAATTGTTTTTTATGTGTGCTCTTACAAATGAAGTTTCTTACATTGGTGTAGCAAAGACCCAAGTATTTGTTTGAAAATACGGGGATGAATTAATAGGAAGCAGAACATTCAATAAAGGCAATCTTTAGTATGAAAAACACTTTCCTAAACTGTAAAATGTTTTAATTACATCTGAAGAGGCCTCAGTGTGATCTTCCCTACAAAAGCCTGTGTAAATTGTCAGTGGTGGTCTGCCAAAAGAAACCTACGGGATAAGGCAAATCAGACAGTTGAAGTTAATTAGTGTCGTGTGTGTATCACAAATATAGAGAGGCTCAAAAGCCACCAGCAGTACTCAAAATAACATCTTTGGGAAATAATTTCTGAGTTTGGCTCTACAGTGTGATTTGTGGGCTCTGGAGGATGAGTTTTTATGTAAGTTTTGTGAAAGCTTGCAGCAGAATAAGAAGTGGAATATTTTGTTTAATAATATCAGTCACAAGTTGTGGTGTCTTCACTACTCTTTCTAATGGTGCTTTATTCAGATGGTGCAATACTAAAATTAAGAACAGTTTTTTAAAAGGTGCTGTTCTTACAGTAAAGTGTAGTAGCTTTACAAGATTGGAGAAGAGTGTTTTTTTCTGAGACTTGTATAGGATCAGCCCTAATTAGATACCTCTTCAGCTTTTCTGGAAATCTTCTGCATGGGAAGAAAGTAATTCTGTCGTTTTTGGTTTTCGTTGTTTTTTTTTGTTGATGAATAACAGTTCATCACTGTTGTAGATGAACAGTGTAAGAAAAAAAAATCATCCATGGTGTTGTTGAAAAAAAATTGTGTTACAGCTAGGTATGAACTATAATTTCATCAACTTATAGGAATTGTATACTTATAAAACAAATAAGTATAAATCGCATAACTTCCAACATTGATTAAAAATATCTAATTTTGAAGATGAACGCATTCTACACAATATTCTTTGCCTGATTGCATATCTTGAACAAATAAAAATGTTGCATTGCTTAAAAATAAAATATAAAGCTAAAGAAAAATCTTTAAAAAGGAATTTCACATTATATACAAGTTCTTATTTTATTTTGTTAAATACTTAATAATGAATAATAGTGTGAAGTTTAGCTACTAATGGTTCCAAGTTCCAACTGGTATCAGTTTTAAAATAACTTCAGTTGAAATACTTGTTGAAAGCATACTGAAGGAATGAACTGCATTAATCACTTCATTATGAAATAAAATATTTTGTGCAGATATACTAAATGTTTCCTCAAAATGTCAAATTTTTGCTTATCAGCACCCCAGGAAGAGAAGAAGCTGGTAGAAAGAGCCTAGGGAATACTGTTGGGTTTTTCCCCTATGAGGGATGGGAACCTTATATATATATTTCCAGTACCTGCTGCTTTAAAAAGCAATTTAAAATACTCTTTCTCCATAAAGTAGCATAAAATCTGACAGTCAATCTGCTGTGTTCCACCTTACAGTTCAAAGTTTTTAATTCTTCGTTGGCAGTAATGCAATCAGAATGTGGGATGTAGACTCAAGTTCCCCACACTGTCTCCCCTTTCAATATACTGAGTGTTCCCTGTCAGATTCCTACCTTCTGGTTTTTGGTTTTTAACAAAGAAAATATTTAGTTTATAGGTAGTTGTGAAAAGTCTCACAGGCACAAGGCAGATGACAGTGGTTGGAGATGATGTGACCTGATAACTTTGCAAACCTGGCCCAGTGAACTTTGAGTCCTGTTTTTCATAATCAATAATACAAGTAACTTCAAAATAGAACATGGAAGCTTTTCTTGAAGTTACTGAAATATAATATTTCAAACTGACGTCTAGATGGTAATAATTTTCTCAGTATTTTAATCTTTCATTTTCATCCTGTATGTCATTGCATTCATGTGAATAAATACATTCTTTCAAGATGATAAGGTGATCAGCAATTATAAATTTATATAGAAATATAGAATATAAAATACCTATTGTATAAAAAGATATAAGTATAATAAAATATTTATATAATATATTTTTATATAGCTATATAAGATTATATAGAAAGTATATAATAGAAATATATATATTTTTCATTCTTTTTTTTCCACTTTAGGGCAGATTATACCAGAAAGAAGATTTGTAGAAGCAGTAAATCGTGAAGCATATCAGTATCAAATTGGTGACTTTCCAGCAGAATGGGAAGGTAAATATTTTGGTTTTATTTCAAGAAAATTTTGGCATTGAATGTAGGCTCTGTATTTTTAATAGAAAGCCTGACTATGTGAACAAGTAACTTGTTATCTTTCCTTTTTGGTAAGGCAGGCTTTTATTTAACTGCATAATAATATGAATTCTTGAAGTAGCCTCTTTAAAAATAGGATAAATTTTGTTTGAGAAGTCAGTACTTAGTATTTAATGAAAGTAAAGCCTATGTGGAGATGACTTACTCCTATTAAATGTGAAAATATTTATTCCTGTGGAGGATCTGATTGAATAACCAGCATGAAGTGCATTAAATAAAACAAAACTTCCTTATTATTCCTTCACTGCAGTGTTAATATATAGGTCAGTTGATGTGCATATTGGTGTCACCAGTGATGGGGCTGCTTTTTTTACGGTGTATTTGGTTTCCTATATCCTCCCTTGCGCAATCTAGTAGAGAGTTGGAAAACATGTTAATAAGTAACCGTCTTGTCCAAGTGCTAGTGATTAAATTCTTGTCTGAAAATTTGTGGTGTAATAAACATTTCAGGGAAGTTAGGGCATTTCCTTAGGATTAGCTGATCAGCTCTTAGAGAAAAACAAGAGGAGTATATTTTGGTCTTTGAAGTTGTTAGGTGATTGAGCCAAGTGTGGGGTTAAATGTGACTTCAAATCCAGATTCTGCAACATAAGCAAGGAATCCCTGAAATAGTATGAGCAAGGAATCCCTGAAATCCTATGTAGAGGCTACCCGTTTCTCAACATGCTTTTGGGAGAGTAAAATACCTAGACATCTCTCAGAAATTGTTAGGTTTAAAGCAAACAGATTTTAAGCAGTGTGTAATTTAGTTCTGGAATTCCTTGTCATGAACTATTCTACTTGCTGGAAGTTTGAATGAGTTAGTAAGAGGTTAAAAGTATTGGTGGAAGAAAAATTGTTCTTATATAATATATACAGATATTACTGATAAACAGTCTGCAACATGTTTGGAGGAAATGTCTTATTATACTTGTTTACCTTATTTTCTTTCCTTTATGCTTAATGCTCTTCTCTGAGGGAGATGATACTGAACAAAAAGAAAACTTCAGGCCCATTATTTCCCTTAATGGAGTCAGTGGAGAAATAGAAAACATTCTTTCTTTGTTTTTTATCATTGTCATTACACTAATTCCTAGGATTTTTGCTGTGATCAACTGAGGCTAGTATTAAGAGCAGAAAGCTTCTGAAAGTGTTTCAACACTATTGGCAGTGTTTGCCAGCTATGGTGAAACCACGGTATCAACAGTTTCTGTCTTCGACTGCTGCAGTACCCACAGGGGTTTGGCAAGTCTTGCTCTAGCTGTTTCTGCTTCTTTGTCAGTCCAAGAGAGCCATCTACTGAAGGAGAGCAGCAACCTGATAGGCCTGTCCTAACTAAATCATCTGGTGCTTGAATGGAAGGAAGGATGTTGTTCATCCAGCTTTCTGAAGGTCTTTTTCCTTGTCTAAAAGTTCTCTAACTATCAGAGCTCATCTTAGTTCTCTGTGACTGTCATGCAAACACTGCACCACAGACACCAAGAAGCATATATGAAGCATATATGAAGCTTCAGGTAACTCTGCTCTCCTGTGAAGGAATTTTCATCCAGGACAATTTGGCAGTCTCTGTCTGCACTTGTCTGGAATTAACAGGAACACAACGTGGACAGTCAGACTGTCTCAGACGGGTGTGGGCTAATAATCCTTTTCTTAATGGGGTTAGACTGCAGTGTTCAACCAAATTGCTATACAAACCCATTGCTTCATGCTATTGGGATCTGTGTAGCACTAAAAATCCTCTGCTATATCTCTCTTCAGAAATTTAGCACAAATCCGTAGGATTTGACAGTGTGGTGCCTTGAAAGTTGCAGATTTTTGGGATGTTGTGTGTGACAAGACCTTAAATTCAAATACCATGTACCCTCAAGGGTATATGGACCTTGTCTAAAACGGTGCAACTGGCAGACCTGGGACACACTTTTCAAAACAAGGCATCCTGTTCAGATTTGTTTTAGAGAAGAAGCAATAACCTGGCCAGTCCTGTTGTTATGAGCTAGGTTTGCATTTTTATTGCTTAACTTCCTCATCTTTGTAACTGTGGGGTTTTGTCTTTGTGATGTTGTCAGCAAATACAAATACATTGTCAGCAAAGAATTCACAGAGGAAAGGAAAATTTGCAGTTTTCAGATTGAGTAATAGTCTTTTCCTCTTAAGTACTTGTCCTGATTTTGGCCAAGGATGGAGTTAATTTTTGCAATCACCAAGAGACGGTGTGGCTAACAGGGTGTGGCCAGAATCCAGATGTTATGCCATGCTGCCTTAGGTCATTGCTGGGAGTAGTGGAAGGGGTCTCTGGCTTCTGAGAAAAAGGGTGTGGCTTCTGATTGGGAAAAAACATGGCTGTGGTCATCTCACATCATCCTTGGTGAGCATTTTGCATGTAAATTGCCCTCTCTTTTGTATGCTTTTATTATGAGTATTAATTTATGTTTGTTTTCTTATCTTACTGCTGTTTCCAGTAAATTGTTATCTCACCCCATGATCTTTCCCTTTTGTGCCTCCCATCCTCCTCCCTGGCCACCCGCAGTGAGGAAGGGTGGAAGAGGAGGGGAAAGGGAGCAAGCGGTTGGCACTGTGGTTTGGGGAACTTTTGTGGGAGAAGTAAACTGCGGAGTCCCATTCCTCAACCACAACACTACTGAATTTCTCTAGAAAGAAGAGATACATGCATGCTTTTTTCCCCAGTGCATTTATTAACCAGAAGGGTGCGTAGTGTATGCTTCTGAGAGATAAAGATGGGAATGCCAGAAAAAAGGCTAGCCTGTACTTTTTTGTCCAATGCTAGTCTAACCTTTGCAAATGGTTTTATGGATGTAGAATTTTAACAAGCCAAAACTGGTACTTCTGCTGTGGGTGGAGAAGCTGTTGAAAGACCTATTATGTCTTGGCTACATATTGTGGGGTGTAAGGGATTTAAGATGCTCTGAATTTCGATTTATCGCTATTTCTTTTTTGTCTCCTGTAAAAAAGAAATTATGAATTAGTTGAAAATGAGAAGGAATGGAAAGTGTAGTAGTAGTAGTTAAAATACAACTATAGAAGACAGTTATCTGAGTAAAAAAAGTTTAATTCAAGATTTTTAGACACTCTTTGCTGAAATGCTCATTACATTTCTATCCCAATTTTTTCCTCTTTAACATTGGTCTAGAAGTTTCCCAGGCCCACAGGACCTGTGCTGAACTTTCACTGTGTGTCTTCTGTCCAGATGCTTGAAAATATCCCAGTACATTTTTTCTGTGGGTGTTCACGTTGTAATTCATGCTATTATGGATGCTGACCATTCCAGCAAATAGCCTGAGACTTTGCTGAAGGAGTTCTAAAATACTTGCTGTTTCCTCTGAACAGTAAAATATAAATATAAGGTTAGAATCTTATTTAGTATTTCCTGCTTTGTTCTCTCTTTGCTCTTGGACTCTGCTGGACACACACTTACATCTCCAGGTGCCTTTTCTCTAAACTCTGTGTATGTACTTTGATATCCACGGCCTCTGCTTAAGTTTTGGCTGGCTCTCCTTCCTATTCCTCTCAGGCTTTTCACTTTTAGGACTGTGCTGAAGAGTGTGTTGCCTTATCTCCTCCTTTTCTTGAGACCTGGAGAGAGCTGCTTTTACCTGTACTGTCTTTGTCCTGCCAGGACTCAGGGTTTTTTACTTTTATTTACTTGTGGAGAGTTCTAAATGGCCACCTCATTTAAAAGCAGTCATTCCAGCACCCTTTCCCTTTCTTTGTTACCCTGCACAACTGTACGACTGACTGTATGACTAGAAAAAGAAACCTCTTATGACCAAAATTAATGAAAGTACCATCCCTGGAAATACTTACAGGTATCACTTTTCTGAGGAGAGCTTACATGAAACCAGGGACAAAGGATAGTGTAAGGAGTGGGAACAGGCTGTAGAGAAATTGGAAGAGGGGACAAGTTAAATCTCATTCTGTACCTAAGACATGCAACTTGGACAGCTGGTAACATAAGGAACTGATTCTGGTAGTGTGTTTATCAAGTTTTAAACATGTAATAAAGTAAAGGAGACCAAGTAGAAAGCTATAAAGCATCATCTAGATCACAGACTCAACCTGTGCAAGCTGTTTCTTCGACTCTGGAGAGGTTGTTTGTGTACTGATCCTGGGAGTTTCGTGAATACAAGGCCAAGGGTTTACTCCTGAAAGACTCATCTGAAAATTTTATACTAAAGATGTTAGTTTTCAGTGCTGTGGAGGATTGAATTATCTACATTCTTAGACCTCTGAATATTATTAAAAGTTCTGAAATGTACATTAAGGCTTCTGTAAAGCTAAAACAGAATCCCTTGTGTTATCCTCAGTGTTAGTTCTTTGTACACCTTTAATTTTAATTTTAAAAATCCAAAAGCGTATTCCCTCTTGTGCTGTAGTTTTAAATTTAGAATGCAATCCATATACCAATATTTGTATACAATAATAATACTAATATTGCCTGGTTTTGTTTCAGTGAAGTCCCTTATATTTTACTTCAGAGTGTGAGTGCCTACTATTTCTTAGGCAGTATGGATGCACACAACAGATAACATGTCTGTATTTTAGTTCTGAATGTTCACCTACTCAAATATGTGTGATTTACTTCCTCAAGACATGTCAGTAGTGCTCATGAGGGGACATCTGGAATTTTACATACCACAGAGATTCGGAGAAGATGTGCTTCTTACAGCATTTTATTGCCATCTACTCGTAATGTCTCTTTTCTTTTTCTTGGTAACATTTAGTGATTAATGGGAGTCTTAATTTGCACGTTCACTTTCTATGGCCATTGCAATGTGTTATCTACCAGTAGGAGACTTAAAGTTCAATGAAAATTTCATGCATACTAATAAGAATGCAAATGAGTGCTGATGAAAGAATGCGAACGTTTCAAGGTAGGAAATGTCCAGCTTACTTGCCAAATTCCTTTTAGACAAAGGTGGAATTAACATGAGTACATCCAGATAAAATTAGAAGCAGCAGTTTTAAATGGGGACAATGATTCATTTTGCTAAAGCTTTGGTGTGCAGGGGAGATGTTGTGGTTGCACTCAGTACATACATTTTACCTTCTGTGCAAGGTTTAAAATATGTTGGCTGACAATGGTGAAGGCATTTTGTTTTGTTAGCTTAGGGAATGGGAATGTAATGAAAAACTTTTTCCCAGCTATAACTGTCAACTTTTAATTAAGTATATATATGTGTGCATACGTTGTTCAAATATAATGTAATATAGCACCTAGCTACCTACCTTGTTTCCATGAACAAATATTTGACTATAGTATAAAGCTGTTGAGTAATTTAAAAGTGCATTCACTGAAGGTGTAATGCAGATCATTAAGAAAGGTACAATAACTTTTTCTTTACTCAACTGTATACACAGATATATATATTTTGTATCTGGATGTATGCAGATACATAAAGAGAATGCAAAATATATAACTTCAACATACTATTTACTTGAATTTTGTTAAATGTAGTGCTAACTCAGTAGGAAATCGGTTATATTTTTGTACACCTTCATTCTCCCTATGCTACCATGAATTTCTCTTACACCTGAGTTATGAGGTGTTGGTGCTTTTTTTGAACTGTGTGTTGGGTGCTCAAAAGTTTATCGATAACTTAAAAGTCAGGGATTTTAAAGGCTTTTAAAAATTCTCCTATCTCAAAGACAACATAAAAACTGGTGTGAATTAAGAATCCTCCCATTCTGAGCCCCAAAGATTAAGTGGTCAGGTGAATTATTAGTAAAATGTGTTTCTTTTGAAAGACTGATCAAACTAGTGGATGCTAAACTGCAGTGTGCTAAAATATACTGAAATCAGATGATGTTTTCTTTGCTTTTAAGATCATATTTCTTCTTGAGCTTTATGAAGAATATTTGAGGAGTGGATTTGCACAGACAAGTGTGATAAAGTTAAGTCTAACTAAATTCATCTTATGGATTTACAAAGATTTTAGTAAGTTTTCATACTATATTCCTCCCTCAGCTACATGGCAGTGAAGAAATCTTTCATTTAATAATGACTTTCTTATGCAGTTCATGAGAGATATTAAAATTAATGTACTTGTAGTAATTCAGAAAATGGTATCAATATTTGTGCCAACAAGTTTTATGTACCGTTAAGCTGAAAAAGATTTGTACCCCTGACATTTATTAGAAAACAGAAAGGTTAATAGCTCAAATAAAACCAAGTATTCAAGTGTTGTTATAACTGGAAAGAAAAAGAGCACAGTGTTAAAACTGTGTGCATTATTTATGTATCTAAATAGATGCAGTTCTCTTATGGAATGTTTGATACGAAAACTCTTCCTAAATTGACGTTTGTTTCTTTGCTTTTGAGTGTTGGTACTGAGTTCAGTTAATGAATGAAAATGTATTGTGGAGTGGTCCTTATTTCACGGCCTTTGTTCACAGGACATATGTGATTGTGTTACCCTTCACTGTTTTGTTTGCAGCTTTTAAAATGAGGTAGATAATTAAATTATAAAATAATTTACTAGAAGTATTCCATTCATCTGAAAATCATTAGTCAAAACACTGCTAAAAGTCACAAGTGGTCTTGAAAGAAAATCTATTGTACTGTTTATATTTCAGCAGTACTTTTTGGCTGCAGCTTAATTTTTATTTCAAATTTTTTCTTTGAGGATCAGTTATTATAATGATCTGAAATTAAAATGCAGCTGGTGTTTTAAGAAAATACAGGCAATTTCAAATAAAGTAAAGCAATTTTTACATGTTGATAGCTGTGGGATAGAAAACAGTGGTACTATCCTTCCATAGGTCAGAAGCAAGGCATGGCAAAGTAGATGATATTTCGTTGAAAGTAATCTGTTAAATTTTGATGATTTATGCTTTACTTTTTATGAGACATTTTGAACTAGTATTTTTGCCTTCCTCCAGCTGTATGTTTTATTGATTAGTGTTTAGTATACACTCTTTGCTGTATCTGAAATCTCTACTGCTTTTTACATTTTTTCTGAATGATGTTGCCAAGTATTTCAGTAATCTGAAACTGTTGCTGAGAATGGACAAAGGTAACTTCCTTCAGGAGGAAATGCTTATGTGATAAGATTTTCTTCACTAGCATGGTTGGTTTTGTTACAGAGGGTATGCAAGGCTGCCAGCTGAGAAGTGACAATCTCAGTTTAGTCTTTCATCTTACCAGATTTTGCAGTTTGAAGTCCTAGTAGAATTTAAATGTTTGTAAGTGCTACTACAGATGCATACAAAAAGTTATATAGTTCTATAGTTTTAATAGAAAGTCATGTAGTTGTATTTTGAATTACATTATTGGGCTGTTTTTCTTTCCACTGACATAAAACTTGCAGAACATGTGATGCTAACTCTTTATAGCTCTGTCACTTCTACACAAGGACAATAGATTTGGACCTATTTATTTGTTAGGAATGCTGAGAAGAGATGACAGGGACTGCTTTTAGGAAAAGTAGTCTGAGAAAGATATTTAAAAGTACATGTCTTCAGAAGTGGCATCTGATAGACAAGAACCAAAAGTATTACCTTGCTTCATATCTTTGCAGGTATTTTACCATTAAACTTTACCATTAACCAAGGCTGTTGGCCTTGCCATCCTGGATAAATTCCAAGCTGTTCTACCATTTCATCTCCATTTGTTCTTATGTTAATTGGAACCTATTCTCCCTAAAACCAGTTGCATGCTGCTGCTGGTGTTAGTGTTTCACCTTCTATGTAGTTGCTTTTTGAGAAATGAGATTATGTTATGACTGTGCAGGTTTTAGTGTCTTAGACTTGCCTAAATAATTCCCTGGTTCCCTTCAAAATACAGCACAGATGGTATTAGAAAATTAAAATACGTAATATTTACTTCTTAAAGCATTTCTGTATTTTATAGATGGCAACAGGTGAGGCCAGGAATTTGAGTGTGTTATAGCAAAATGTTATTTTTGCTCTAATTTTCAAGTATAGTAACAAAAATGTTGATTACCTAACAAACATGTGAAATAACATTTTTCTGTATCTCTGCACTTGGAAGTGGCTTTCCTTATGTTTGTCATTCTGTTCATTACTGGCTGCTTGCATTCTGCTTCTAATTAATTTGAAAAATAAATGCAGAAAAGACAAATGTGTAGATTCAAAAGCCATGAAAAAATGCGACAGTAGTGGTATTTCTAAAAAGTGGTGTCAGGTCATTCCTCTAAATAATGTCTGTAATAGTTGGAGCTCTCTCTCTTAATTCATTGACAAAGTGAGACCTGTCAGTGTCTGTGATGTGGTGTCTGGATTGATGCCTCCTGACATCCCAACTAACAGCAGTGATAGTGACAGGAGTAGGCAAATATCTGTGGATCTCATTCAGAAACCCTGAGCAACAGGACACCTTTCATTGCCTCTGCTTTCATTCCTTCATTCCTCTGCTGTCTTTTCCAGCGAATCCTTCTCCCACTCACAGTACCCGCCCCTCCTGGCAGTGAGCAATCCCACAGAGCCACATGATGTGTTCAGTCCAGGCTCCGCAGTCCCTCACTCAGATCTGGGGCTGAACCTTTCATACCTGAATTCTACCTGGTAGTAACATTAAAATTTTTCAGCTTTAAGAATGTCTGAAGCATGTACAGGAATTCCTTTTCACCAGAGTGGTCTAAGGCAGTTCTTTCCATTAGTCAGCTTGTCATTTTCTTAGGATGTACCTCATCTCTGTATTGCAAGTTCAACAATAAGCCTGTGCCATAAGCCCTGCTCTTTAGGCCGTGTTTTGACAGCCAAGGTGCTATGTAAACCGTGCCAAATGTCTCTACATAGAGGTGACACCATCCCCCACCTCTCCCTTCTCTGAAGAGCAAGTATTGAAACAGGAAATAACATCTTGTGCCTACATTTTGGGAAGTGACAGGTTTGCCAGGTTGTGGTGAATTCTAGTGTAATTTTTTCATAAATACTTACTTTTTGTTACAAATTAATAATAATTTTGAGTTTTAATACTGTTTTTGATCTTTGAAATAATCAATTTGATTTTTATTTTTTTTCAGCATGGATAAGAAAAAAGAGAGAAGATCCACCCACAGTTGAGGTGAGATGAAATGTTAAAATTTTTCAATTGGTGAAATGAAACTACCATAGTTAGTTTATAGTGGACTCATCGGTGCAGTAATCTGCCACTTATGGGGGAGAATTTAGTATGTTCCTTGCCTAATTGATGAAAATGCACACTGACTACATATCTAACCCTTAGCAAAAAGTAAAACAAACTCCATTATTCTTTAGTCATTCTCTGTATGAATTCTTTTAAGATGGTATACATAGGTTCTTTAAGATGATCATAACCATTGAAAAGTCTCTTCAATTGAAAAAATTCCTAAATTACTGCTATGGCTTTTTAATTAATGTAAGGTTTTTTTCGTAGTAGTTGATACTAAAATGTGGGTTTCAATCCCAGCTGGCAGTGGAGTCATCAAAACAAGAAAACCAATTGCACTACCATTTTACAGTGTTAATGCTACAGGGAAATATGTCTTTTTCCATAAGAGAAAGCAGAGAAATGTCCCCTAGTGTCTTTTATGCTGTAAGGAGTTTAAAAACAAGTCTGCTGATCTGTGCATGCAGATGCATGCACACACGCACATGACTTGCCCAACATTTCTATTATAAGGCGCTAAGCACCAGCTAGGAATGAGAGAGGAGACACAGTTTGCTGCAGAAGATTCAAAATTACACCCAAGGAGGCAGATACTTGACTTGCATCAGGAGTAACTGTGTCAAGTTCGGATCCCTGAAGATATGTTGGCATATCCAGCCATTTGGTCACTGCAATCTTCTGGAACATCCTGGCCTGTGAAAAGTTGTCCTAACTGCCTGTGAGCTGAGATGACCTGAGGAAGCTTGTCATTGAAACAAGCTCCTTCACAACATACAGCTTTTCAACTAATTCTGTCTGCCCCTCTTTCACACTTGCTACTGAAGCTATAGAGACAGTAAGGACTATAATACATCCATGAATGAAAGAAGTTTAAGTTAAATTTATCCTTAAACCTATTCAGGGAAGTAGTAAATGTGTTTTTTTTTTTTTTTTAATTTTTAAATTTTTTCCCTTCCCTCCCTAATCTAGTTCCTTATGTAGAGCCATGGAACTGATACTACAACAGTTGCTCCGTCTAAGTTTGGACTGACCTAATTTTAATTACTTCTGGCTTACACCAACTATATGCAAACAACTTTTGTTGTTAAAATTACCACTTATTGTGATGTTTGAAGATGGGAAGTGTTATGTGTCTTTTGTTCTATCATTTCTGTGAGCCGGGCTGCTCTGATAGTTGTCCCGAGGTAAATCTTCTCCAAGACAGGCAGCCTTGGGTTTGGACTTCGTGCAATAAAACTCCTTCTGGTGCTAGAGATGTTGGTTCATTTTTGAAATAGGGAGCAAGAAGTCTTCACAGGTGAGAGAATTGTGGAACAAGAGTGTTCTAAATATTTTACCTTCCAGAAAAAGCAATTTATAGAGAGTGAAAGATTGCTGTGACTAATGGCGCGTTTAGAGTTACAGGACTTCTTATATTTTTAGTTTCATGGGGTAATAGATCTGAGAAATAATTTAGCAGCTAGGTACTTCACCTGCAGGGCTGTGCATTGACCATATCACAGAGCAGAAATTATAAACTAGGAATTTAAAAATAGTTAACTTTTTTACTATTACTTTACTAATTACTAGAGAAAGTAATCTCTAAATGATTTTTTCCTGTGTAAGAAAAAGTAGTTAAAATATAACTATGTTAAAAATTCTTCCTAATATTTTGAAAAGTGCTCCAGTAATATTTTTAATATGTGATAGTAAAGCATAATTTGTTTCTCTATTATGGAGAATAGTTTGGGGTGCTATATATGATCTATTTTTCTCCTAATTTGAAAGTGGCACAAATCCTTACATCTTAATATAATTATAGTAGTGAAGTACATACAGCATAATGTTTGGTCCATATTTGTAGGGCTGATTTGATTTAGTGTTTTAGCTACATAAACCTTACTGGCTGCTATTCCATATTATGTTCCCCTTTTGACAGTAAAGATGGTATGATAAGCTGCTGTTGGACAGCTATGAAACAAGAGAAATTTGTGGCATATTCCATGTTGAAATCCTGTATAACAAATCTTTGTTCTTTTGTGTATTTCTCATGAGACCAGACTATTTCTGAAAAAGGATGTAAAGCCCACAGATTTTATGTTTTTGCTTTAATGAGATTTTGCTCTCATCATCTTATTGTAACAACCCAACAACAACCTAAAGCATAAGTTTCTGGAGCTGTGCCTATGTTCCTACCTTTGCAGTCTGTGAAAATACTTTTTTGAATTGTTTTCTTCTCTTTCCTGTCCTTTGTCTGTCATTTTTTTCTTTCTTATATCAAATGACATATGTTAAACTTATTACAATTTCTGTTCCACCTCTGTTAGTCTACCATGCCCCTTTTGAATCATATATATGGGATTTTTTTATTTGTCTTTTCTTTTATTAGCTCTTGGCTATTGATAATAGAGGTTGCTCAACTACTCTAGTTACCAGGCTTCATGATGAATTTTTAATTGAAAATATTGCAGAGTTACAGCTTTACAAAGCAGTTGGATCATACTGATCACACTGATGACCACATGTTGGGAACCAATGGTTTGGTAAATAGTGTAGGCTAACAAAATGTCACTCATAATCATGAGGACATGCCAGTCATTTAAGTGAGAACAAATGTGAGTTGTTCCTCCCTGACAGTGGTCAGAATAATTGGGTCATGACATCAAGCTAAATCTGCTGGTGATTTTCTTGAGACTTGATAATGTTTTGTAATCAAGCCATTCTTTTTTCCACAAACACTTGATTTTTTTTTTTGTTTGTTTGCTTGTTTTCATTATAAAGTTTTCACTTTTGCTCAGAAGAGTTTGTTTTAACTGTCTCTTTAGTTTCTCTCTCCTGGTTTGTTTTAAGTTTTTTTTTTTATGGAAGAATACTCCAAGTCATCTTGTGCAGTGTTAATTATACCACATCCCTAATGGTTTCTTTCCTCCTTATGTGCCCATCCCTTTTTCCCCATTTTTGAAGGAAGTCACTTGGCCTTCTCTGTCTGGCTAGACATAATTCATGAATCCTGCTCATCACTTTCATTATTCCTAACTTGGCCACATACATAAGGAATGTTAATGCTGGAAGCCTTGGTTTTTAAAATAATTTTCTGGGATACTGGTTAGCAGCTGGTTGTCTTTTGATTTTTTTACAGCTTGAAATATGCCAAGTCTCAGCTTAGTTATGATAAGGGTGATAACTTGACAAATTAGTGCAGATCATGTTGTTTCTGATGTTCTGCTTAAACATACTCTGTTCCTATGGTAATCAGGGAATCTCTCTTGATATAGAATTCTGGATCACACCTTTGTCCTATTTGAGCATGTCTACAGTATGTGTGTATATACTCCTTAATAACAGTGAGAATCTGAGCTTGAATACAAATATTTTTGCAGTACTGTAGCATCCTGTCATCTGTCCTTTTATATGTATATTGAGTATGATCATATATGGTTGTCTGAGGAAAATTATTACCTTGATTCCTGTGCAGCTCTAAATTATATTTTAACTAGTTTAACTAACTAAGTTAAACTGGTTAAAATGTAATTTAATTATAATTGTATATAATTAAATAATTATTAATAACTAAGTTGACTAATAACTTTCTTTATTATGTTTATAGGAAACTAGATGTATGTAGTAAGTGTTTTGGCAAATAGGAAATATGTCACTGTCTAAGGACCTTAAAGTTTGAAATTAATGAGAATGTTTTAAAGGCTACTAATATTAAAATCATTTTAATCAAATGCTATTTTGTGGAAGCAGATTTAATAATTTTTCACTTTGCATGTGTATTAGTTCACCTGCTGAGCTTTAATTTTGTTAGAATTTATTAACAAAAGTAGTTTTGAAATATAGCAGTTGTTTTACAGAAAGGATGTTCCATCCATGGAAATTATTTCTGTAAGAGGCTATTCCCTTCCACTCTTTGAGCCACAGACCACCTTCTGTATAGCTCATGCAAAAATTTCCTAGTTAAATGTAAATGTGCTGTCTTGCGTATTCCCCTACCCCCACTTTTCCTTCTGGCTACAGAAATTTAAACCTGTCTATATTTTGGATTTTTCACATCTTGTTTGGAAAGGAATGAAAAGATGCTCATGAAGACAAGGAGAAAACCTCTCTTCAGACCTTTCTGTGCCTAACTTCTATTTGATTTTTTTTTTTCTTATTTCAGAGGGAATCAGAATTGTAGAGGCTTTTAAAGAATTCTGCCATCTATAACACAAGATATATTTTGATATATATTTAGAAATCTAACTTTTATTTTCTCCCACAACAGATCTTCTAGTTACACACTACTTCTGACAGTGTCCTGAAGTTCAAGGGTGTCTGAGAAACCTGGCATTATTTAAGGCCATGTCTGTAGAATGGAGACAGAAATAAAATTACAGACTTTGTTGGGGTGTCAGAAAACTAATGAGGAAGCTTGCAATTATGGCAATGCCGAGAGAAAGTGGTGTGGAGGGAAATGTGGTTTATCTCTGAACCCACCAGCATGGTATCCTGAAAGTGGTAGGAGTTAACCCATAGTAACATACGCTATGGTATATGTTATAGTAACATATAGTAACATATCTTTGTGTACACAGATAACACTTCCCTGTCGATCTAGAAAGTGCTTCCTCTGTAGCACACACAGGGCTGCACAGCCACAAATCTCAGTTTGAACTGAAACCTCTCTGTTGCTCTGTATGTGCGTGTTACATTAGTATTTAATGGGAAGTAAAGTAGAATTGCATGTTCCTTCAGTTAGCATCAAGATCCTGAAAATAGGCTGAAATTGAAAACTACAATAAACGGCAGCTTTTCTCATGCAGCATGTACTTGTTATACAGTAATAAAATTCAGTGAGTTCTGAATTGCACAGTTGGATAGAAGGTGAAATGCTAAAAAAACCTAATGTGATGATGACTGTATTCTTTCAAACTGTTTCTAGGGTATCCATAATTATCTGTTTTGGCAAACTC